GCAGGAATTGAACTATCTACAGTGGCTAACAGCAACAAACCTATAAGGACTTAACCACCCTACAGCGGCTGAAACAACAATAAACCTTTAGGGACCAACTACCCTGCGGCGGCTAAAACTTTTCTTCCCCTCACGACTGAACGTCATATGCACGTCAATGACAAAACGTGAAGGTGGAAGAACTGGTGAGAACCGATCCGTACGAGGGCAAATCTGAATCCCAAAATTTCGAAAGAGTCAATTCAGCGGGCGGTCTCAAAGAACAACTCTAAGTGAGCTGTTATAACAAAGCATTGACGGTGAAGAGAGCCTTTCACATTAGTGATGGTAGAAACCAAAAAACACCAAATATCGAAGACACTTTGGAGGTCCTAAGTTCTCTACTGGACTACTCCCAAATGGTGATACCTACATTGTATCACAAAAGTACGGGCTAAACTCTAGCCCAAGAAGAAAGTTCTCGGCACGGGCTGAAAAATATTTCCCCTCACGGCAAAATGCGGAAATTCTTGATCAAAGAAAATGCGGTAGCTTATTGAGGCGGCAGCGACAAACTGCAGAGGTTGCAACAACTGACTGCGGTGACTGACTCTGCCAACGGCTGACTGCCCCTACGCCGACTGTGGTAGCGGTGGAACGAAGCACTGTTGCTTGAGAAACAGAAACGAAGTGAGAACCCATTGGTGATAGTAGGAGGAAAGGTCCTGGTCATTTGGTGGAGGCATAAACTAGAACGCACGCACCAAACCATAACACAGAAACGAGAGAGAGGTCTGGCAATGCAAAAGCGTGCAGCGAGCGACGACAGTGGCGGCAGCGACGGCAGAGGCAGCGGCCATCTTCTGAGCAACCTTCTTCTTGCAAGCGTCCGACACCATCCTTAATCTCTAATCAAAGACGAATTAAGAGGATCGGAAAGGAGAGATGAAAATAGATCTACAATACGACCTAGGGTTTCGCGGTACAAAGAGAAATAAAAACCGAACCCGAGAGAAAGCTTAAGGTTCGAGGTTTGCGTTTTTTATGGAGGTAGTTGTGGAGACAACGAAGATGACAAGAGGGTCTGAACAGAGAGATGAAGGTCTAGCGAGACGACCGGCAGCGGCGCGGTGTGATTTCGACACCGGGACGACGATGCATGAGAAACACACACCCGAGACCAGCTGAAGAAAGGCGGCGCGTGGAGGCGTGTTGAGAGGAGTCTGGTTCTGACTCCGGCGGGGTTGATCGTCGCTCGAGGAGACGATCCAGATCCGCTGGTCACCGGTTGAAACTGTGACGGTGGCCGGCGGCAGACGGTGGCTAGCGGCAGACGATGGCCGACAGCAGACGGTGGCCGGAGGCGGATGGACGACGGCAGTGGTGCACAACGTAATTATCAGTGAAGGCAATGACCTTTCATGGTTCCCTGAAGAAGAGACTTTCGGTCTTTGATTAGCAGCTAATGAGAATGCCAAAAAGATTAGGAATCACTTAATAAGACTAGACATTAATGGGTCCGATAACGGGTGGAACATTAAACTCAACAAACAACAAATTTCACTAGGATAGACTCAAACCTGAATCTGGTACCAATGTTAGACTTTTTGCCTAACTCATTCTCACATGACTGACTTGTAAGGAGAGGTTTGCACTTACATATATACTCTGAGTTGGCATTATCTCTAAGTGATGTGGGACTTNAAGAGAGAGACACATGCAAGCAGTTGAAAAAATTCTGCAATACTTGAAGTCAAGTCCAGGAAAGGGGTTATTATTCAAAAGGGAAGACACATTGACTATGAAGATATATACTGATGCGGACTATGCAGGTTCTATTACTGACAGAAAATCTACTTCTGGGTATTGTGTATTTCTTGGAGATAGTCTGGTAACATGGAGAAGCAAAAAGCAAGATAGAGTATCCCGTTCTAGTGCAGAAGCTGAATTTCGAGCCCTTGCTCAAGGAATGTGTGAAGGACTCTGGATGAAAATCATTTTGGATGATCTTAAAGTCAAAGTGGAGAACCCGGTACAACTACATTGTGACAATAAGTCTGCTATGAGCATAACCCATAATCCAGTACAACATGACAGAACCAAACACATTGAAATTGACAGACATTTCATCAAAGATAATCTTGACAGAGGATTTGTGATTAAAACTCATGTTCCTACAGAACTTCAAATAGCATATATTTTTACAAAAGGGCTTCCTCCGGGTAGATTTCAAGATCTTGTAGGCAAGTTGGGAATGATTGATATTCATTTACCAACTTGAGGGAAAGTGTTGTAATTAGAAAAAATATCTTTAGAATCTTCCTAATTAGAAGATATAGATATATAATCTTTTATTTTATTTTGTTTTCCTAGTTTCCCTATTTCCCTTTTTAGGAGAATTAGATTATTACAAATAGAGGATATGAGAATGTATTTTTCATGATTGAGAATAATAAATCAGTCTTATTTTCAACTGAAACTAGGAAAGTAAAATAAAATAAAGATTATATATGTATTTCCTCTAATTAGGAAGATTCTAAAGATATTATCTCAAATTACAACACTCCCCCTCAAGTTGGATCATACAAGATTGTATGAACCAAGCTTGGAATAGTCAAACTCAATTGTAGAGAACGTCAATAAACCAAATTGGACAGCAATGGATGAGGCGAACTAGCACCATGAAACTTCAACTTGGACAACAATGGACGAGGGAGATTTCCATCAAAAATGGATGATGACTTGTAGCAGCAAACAGCAACAAACTACAAGAACAGATGAAGGGCCTGCAGTGGCGAACAACAACAAACTGCAGGGACTGGATTGCCATCAATAGTGGCAAACAACAACAAAACTTCAAGAACATGATTTCCATGAGTAACATATGGGAGGCCTTCAACGGCTAACAACCACAAACCTGTAGGGACTTAACTACCCTAAACAACAACAAACCTTTAGGGACTTAATTGCCCTAAGCAGCAACAAACCTGCAGGGATTACACTACCCTGCAGCGGCACTAAAAGGCTAACAGCCACAAACCTGTAGGGACTTTAACCACCCTGAACAATAACAAACCTAAAGGGACTTAACTGCCCTAACAACAACGAACCTTTAGGGATTTAACTGCCCTGAACAACAACAAACCTGCAGGAATTGAACTATCTACAGTGGCTAACAGCAACAAACCTATAAGGACTTAACCACCCTACAGCGGCTGAAACAACAATAAACCTTTAGGGACCAACTACCCTGCGGCGGCTAAAACTTTTCTTCCCCTCACGACTGAACGTCATATGCACGTCAATGACAAAACGTGAAGGTGGAAGAACTGGTGAGAACCGATCCGTACGAGGGCAAATCTGAATCCCAAAATTTCGAAAGAGTCAATTCAGCGGGCGGTCTCAAAGAACAACTCTAAGTGAGCTGTTATAACAAAGCATTGACGGTGAAGAGAGCCTTTCACATTAGTGATGGTAGAAACCAAAAAACACCAAATATCGAAGACACTTTGGAGGTCCTAAGTTCTCTACTGGACTACTCCCAAATGGTGATACCTACATTGTATCACAAAAGTACGGGCTAAACTCTAGCCCAAGAAGAAAGTTCTCGGCACGGGCTGAAAAATATTTCCCCTCACGGCAAAATGCGGAAATTCTTGATCAAAGAAAATGCGGTAGCTTATTGAGGCGGCAGCGACAAACTGCAGAGGTTGCAACAACTGACTGCGGTGACTGACTCTGCCAACGGCTGACTGCCCCTACGCCGACTGTGGTAGCGGTGGAACGAAGCACTGTTGCTTGAGAAACAGAAACGAAGTGAGAACCCATTGGTGATAGCAGGAGGAAAGGTCCTGGTCATTTGGTGGAGGCATAAACTAGAACGCACGCACCAAACCATAACACAGAAACGAGAGAGAGGTCTGGCAATGCAAAAGCGTGCAGCGAGCGACGACAGTGGCGGCAGCGACGGCAGAGGCAGCGGCCATCTTCTGAGCAACCTTCTTCTTGCAAGCGTCCGACACCATCCTTAATCTCTAATCAAAGACGAATTAAGAGGATCGGAAAGGAGAGATGAAAATAGATCTACAATACGACCTAGGGTTTCGCGGTACAAAGAGAAATAAAAACCGAACCCGAGAGAAAGCTTAAGGTTCGAGGTTTGCGTTTTTTATGGAGGTAGTTGTGGAGACAACGAAGATGACAAGAGGGTCTGAACAGAGAGATGAAGGTCCAGCGAGACGACCGGCAGCGGCGCGGTGTGATTTCGACACCGGGACGACGATGCATGAGAAACACACACCCGAGACCAGCTGAAGAAAGGCGGCGCGTGGAGGCGTGTTGAGAGGAGTCTGGTTCTGACTCCGGCGGGGTTGATCGTCGCTCGAGGAGACGATCCAGATCCGCTGGTCACCGGTTGAAACTGTGACGGTGGCCGGCGGCAGACGGTGGCTAGCGGCAGACGATGGCCGACAGCAGACGGTGGCCGGAGGCGGATGGACGACGGCAGTGGTGCACAACGTAATTATCAGTGAAGGCAATGACCTTTCATGGTTCCCTGAAGAAGAGACTTTCGGTCTTTGATTAGCAGCTAATGAGAATGCCAAAAAGATTAGGAATCACTTAATAAGACTAGACATTAATGGGTCCGATAACGGGTGGAACATTAAACTCAACAAACAACAAATTTCACTAGGATAGACTCAAACCTGAATCTGGTACCAATGTTAGACTTTTTGCCTAACTCATTCTCACATGACTGACTTGTAAGGAGAGGTTTGCACTTACATATATACTCTGAGTTGGCATTATCTCTAAGTGATGTGGGACTTCCAACACTTCAAATGCCATTCACTTGCCAATTAATATAAATATGTAGTTTTAATGTTGTAATTTATATTGACTTTGGGAAGTCACCAGATTGCAGATGGAATGACTGTACAGATTCGTATGGTTAATCTATTACTTGAAACTCGTGGAAGTGCTTGTTGCCAAGGGGAAGCAACTCGGTAAGATATTTATGTAGCTGCTCTGAATTGGGTAGCATCTTCAGTTTGTTTATGCTCTATAAATCATTGTCAATTATTATTGTGGATTTCTATAAATTGAAAATTGATATTATTGTATTAGCATAGATTTAGTGGATCATTTCATGTGGTAACATATGTCTAAAGCCCGATGTACTATATATCTGTTTGACTCAGAGACTATTGCATATTTCACCAAAAATCTATTTATAAGCATGCCTGTTCTAGAATCACCCTCAATTATTAGGGTGGATTTCAATAAATTTAAAATTGATATTACTGTATAGCATTGATGTGGTGGATCATTCTATGGGGTAACTTATGTCTAAATCCTGTACTATAATATCTGTTTGACTTAGAGACTTCTGTATATTTAATCTAAATTCTATTTATAACCATGCCTGTTCCCTAACTTTGTTCGTAGGGCACCACCTGTTGCATCTATTACCATGCACAACTTTATACTGTATACCACAAATGAAAGCTGGGAGGTAACTCTGATGATACTCATTCTTGCAATGAAAGTCAGGGCACTCAAATATGAAATTTATAGTTTTTTTATTCTGTTATCAGGTTGTAAATCTTAAAGAGGCACGGGAATTCTCCAGTAATAAGAAGTATATATACGTCTTCAAAGTACTATTTCATTTTTATTTAAGAATTATATATACCCTTTCCCTTTTTTGAGTTTGTGTATGTAACCTTGAGTCAGTTGGTTTGAGCCTTTTTTATTATCACCTATTAATTCTTATTTCCACCTCCCTCTCTTCAGAAACTAGAATGGGAATCTTTGTCTTTTGATCTTTTGCCTCATCCTGACATGTTCACGGATGGTACTATAGGCCGCTCTCAAGAGGGAGCAAACCTGAGAGACGAGGATGGTGAAAAGCGAGTATTATTTGGAGCCGAGCGTCTTATAGAAGGAGTATCGGGAGAAGCATTTGTAAGAAATATAGTTCCCCCAATTAGTTTTAATGAATATTATTTTTCTTCTAGAATTTTATCTGTCATGAATCATGAAATACAGCTTGAACTTTATATTACTAGATCACGGTTCAGAGAACTGAATTGAACAGTCCATTTGCACTTGAGGTTCAGTTACATGTCACGGAAGCTGTTTGCCCTGCATTAAGTGAACCAGGTAACTAAAAGAAGGTTTGGCAGGTCTGTACTATCCATACTTAGTTGATATGAAAAGCAAAGATTTGACATGAAGTTTCTAAAACTTATATCAACAGGACTGCGTGCATTTCTTCGCTTTAAAACAGGATTACATGTCTGTCTAAACAGGGGAAATGTAGATTTCAAGTCACCGAAGGTTTCATATTGCCTTAACTACTTCATCCTTTGATAAAACTATTTTTCAATTGTATTTTATTGATATAGCAATATCATGGTGTGTTTCTGAATCAATCATGACAGCGATCAACTGAAGCTGCTAGTCATTCTATTGTCTCAATTGTTGTGGACCATATATTTCTTTGCATTAAAGAATCTGGTATGTCTTTAGCCTAAACTATTATGTCAACTTATATCTCCTTTGATCATTTTGAAATATTGTATTGCTATTAGTTTTGTATGTAAACATAGCATTAAAATAATCCTACAATTGGCATTAACTTGTAGACTTCCAACTTGAGCTTTTAATGCAGTCCCTCCATTTTTCTCGGGTAATTTACTTCATTATGTTCTTGTGCACTTCATTCTCCATGTATTTCTTCTTCTTTCTCATTGGTGTTCCCTTATTCTGAATATTTTGATATTAGGTTGTTAGGTATATGTTATAAATACAAAGTGAGGCCAAACTAATGTTATAAAGGGCTTATGTTTGAGAAGTCACAGTTTGATACACAATAAGATGAAAAACAAAGAGTATAGTGAGGTTTAACGAAGTTTTTACCAAGTAAGTGAATATTTGGATAGTTCATAATAACACCCTGAACTAAGATATTCTAGGGGGGAAAAAATTTTCTGATACATGCTTAGCATAGTCGAGGTTAGGTAGTAGTATATATCTCTTTTGTGGACCGGTAAATGGTTGATATTCTTGGGAAAGAAGGAGAAAGAAAAGTAATTATGATTGTGCAATGTTTTAATGAAAATAATCAACAGTGGATCATCATAAGTGAATACCAAATTCATATGTATGAAAAAATGAGATTGAGTCTGGGGTCTGATGGTTGTAGGTCAAATCCTAGACCCCCATTATTTGTATTGTTTGTGGAGGTATATATAAGATTGATATTTAGGGCTCTACAAGAAGAATTAATCTAAGATCCCTAATTCATTAGTTATAATTTCTATTAATTCTAACATAAATATAAGATTCAACACTTTGTAATTTTATTGTTTCTTGTTTTAATTAGAGTAGGGAATAGGAACCTTTTTATTACAAAGATTGAGCATGTACCTAGTAGCATTACTCATTGAATGGTCTAGTTTGCCTATAAAACATGGGTTAGTT